CCCAGTGAAAGTAATAATGTATTTTTCTGACCAAGGCCACAGCTGACGACCACTAAGACACTTTTTGACAACACGATGCAAGAAGCTTGACTCACACTCAAAGGAAATGAGCCCGATGCGTTTGTCTTATAATTGATCATTATGGCTTTTAATTTGCTCGGGGAGTAAAAGTAGTAATGATGCACATGCCCTGAACGGCGATGTTATGCCCACTGAAGCAATAACGGACTCAGTTTGGCACGTCGGTGTTTGCTTTTAGTGAAGTCAACTTTGTTGTATGCCACATCAGATTTATAATCCCAGTTGTTATAAAAAAAAGAAGAAGCGAACTTGTTCATCATTACCTCTCACACAATGTGATCTACAGCATGCTGTAGTGGCATGAGACAGTAAAGTGCATTAGAAGGCTTCATAATGGATGTGTCTATGCCTTGCTATGCCAGGCTGTTTAGTTATTAATCTGCCAGAAGAAATGTATTTGCTCTTTATTTATTAGAACTTAACATTTACATTAAAAGTAAGTTGATCCAATCAAGTTGTATCGCTACACTGTAAATGTTTTTGTTGTTTCTCGACAGCACTTTTAATGTATTTGCAGCAGCCCCTTACTGCAGAAAGTCTGCAGGAAGTTGATGGATGTTGTTTTGACAGTAGTTTTACTGTAATCGTAGCTGCTGAATAATAATGGCTGGTAGGTTACTGTAAATTTATTGGGGAATTGTTCATATTGTATGCAAAAGAACAGCAAAGCATGTGCAGATTTTGCGATCTTTCTCTGCTGCTGTGAATCATGGAAGGGAAGCATCGCACTTCCCTTCAGTTACCTGCGATGTACACCACAGCAGAGACCCAGTCCACAGGCGACCTGTTCCTCACGTCTCATGAACCCATGACAGAATGTGATGCTGCTCGGTGCTGCAAACTGCCCACTGCAGAGAACTCAACAAAAGAAGCGTCTACTGTGGAGGCGCTCGACCGGGCCCACGGCTCAAACAATGGCGCTCTGTTCCAAACATGCTGTTTGTCACATCGCCGTCCTTTAAATTGTCAATGGTGCTGTTGTTGCGCTTCACTTCAACTTTAGCCTGCATGTTACGCAACTGAAGTCTTAATGTACAGGTGCGTCTCAAAAAAACTACAGTATCGTGAAATGGTGAAGGTTATCGTGAGTTTTGTTTTTTCATTATCTGTAAGCCATGATCATCAAAAGTACAAGAAATAAAGGCTTCACTCTGTGCAATGAAAATAATATGTTTTATTACTTTTTCACAATACTCCATTTTTAAAATTTACTCCTGCAGATATGCTGCATGCTTGCTGGTAAAATAAAGGTTTTTAAATGGTTTTAAATGGTCAAAGTGTTTTTGTAAACAAGAGGAGGGTAATTTAACTCATGACCTGCCAAAATAAAAACCTAATTTATTTAAAATCGAATAATTCATATTGCTTGCAATGTTTCATGCCAGACAATGTCCGTGCTCAATAATCCAGGTATGCAATTCAACAAGACCTGACTGAAAATTGTTGGATTGTATACCTGGATTATTGAGCATGGACTTTGTTGGTTTTGAACCAGTTTGACATGACTGTCGACGAGGGAGAGGGCCGGCTCCGGAGGAGGAAACGAGCCAAAGACACCATCTTAGCACCAACATAACTGGTTTGTTCCACTTTGGAGTAAACTGTTTGGGGGAATAATCAGTTTTGTGTTGTGTGTTCCCTTGACTGATGAAGCCTTCTGGATGGAAGGTGAAATGTTTCAGCACAAAAAAAAGAAAGAAAGTGTCCAGATGAGCTGACTGAAAACTGTTGGGTTTCATGCCAGAGTTTTGGACTAATCTCATCTTTGGTTGAGATAAGACGGAGTTGAAGTCACTTTGGTTAAAGGTTATAAACAACATTATGCACAGTATTTTATCTCATAGTGATAAAAACATGAACTCTTGGAGTATGTGTTGTGAATGATTCTCAGCTACTACCACAGCATATTTGATCCCGGTATTCATCAAAATCCTCTGAGGTATTGCTGTTTTTTGTTTTGTTTTTCTGCTAACTGCATCCATCTTTAATAGAAGTGACATCAAAAGTCCATCATTTGTAAATGTACAGCCAGTTATTGCTTTCTGAGAAATGAGATTTTTCCAGTAGTTCATAAAATATGTTGATGGTGGACAAAATGGTAAACTCTAACAGTTACAGTAATAACAAGACGTCAAACAAAGATGTTGCACTCAAAGAATGTGTTGGGCACAACACTCAGCTACTACCACACACACGTTCAGATCAATATCTGTAATATTGGAAAAGTTATAGTTATTTATGATTTAGAAGGTCCGAGGCTGTAGCAGTCATCTTGAATCTGGTTAAGTCGTAAAAATAAAATAATCTTAAAAGTCAGTCCAGAAATCACTTTCTGAAAGTTTCAGTCAAATCTGGTCAGTGGTGTATGAGATATTTCGCTAACAGACAGAGTTGCGCCCAATGGTTTTAGGCACCGATCTCGCTCAATAAGTTAATGATCAGTGTATAAGTTCAGGATCAGTCACAGCTACAACACATTTCAGCTCGGTGTATGTAAAACTGACAGGTATTTCCTGTTTGCGTTGCTGTGGTGGCCATCTTGACTCAGACTGACCATGTCGTGGATGTAAACCCACTGATCACACTTGAAGAGCTTCACCGACACCTGTTCAGAGGAACAAGAGATATTTTGCTAACGGAACATGCACACATGGGCAAAAACACTTGACGTCTCCAGCTTCACCTTGGGCAGCACGTGGGAAACATATTTTTACTGCATGTAGATAAAAAAATGTAAAATGGTAAATTCTGAGATTCTATGCTAAGATAAAGGTAATGGTGCATCATAGATGAGACTGTATGTCTGTTATCTCTGATTATCATATGTTTTCATGAGGATGCCCTGACTGTAAGCATGGGAGCGGGTGGTGGGGTTATATATTTCTGGAAGCCAGCCAGTGTGTATTTATACCATGTCACTCCAGAACTGTGAGACCATCTTTTATTAGAAGCTCTCATGTATTGTGAGTGGGTTTTAACCTCTCTTTTCTATCACTTCTGGAGGAAATGCATGAAGCAGCAGCTTGGTTTCTAGATCATAACAGAAAATAGGAAACAATGCCCTGATGGAGATAGCCACAGGTGACTGAGATTACTTGTGGACGTTATCTCCTGCAGAAACCATCACCTTATGATAAGCCTCAAGCTGCTGCCACTACAATAACCTGCACAGCATTTTTGTGAATTATCATCTTTATGGCAGGTCTATTATAACTTAATAGCTTATTAAATTGTCTGGACTGCCATGGAGAGACTCGTAATAATCCAAATGGATCTCTGGACGGCCATGAAAGGGAGAAGTCTATCAAATTTGTTTCATAGACAAAATAGATTGATCAGACTTTTGATGATCCCCCTGAGCTCGCAGCCTCTTGTTGGCATGATTTGTGCTTCGCAGAAGATGAGAGCAGTCGGTCTCTGCAGACTTCTGTCACTCACGCTCCGAGCTGAAGTCACAGTGAAAACAGGAGGAAAAGGTGATAGGACGCTTGGACCACAGCTTCCCAGTGCTGCCAACTTCTCAGTAAAGCATCAGCCGGCTGTAAAAGATGCCATCACCATCTTGTGCGTAACTGTAATGGACGTTGTTGGAGCGAGGTTTGTCGAAGAAACAGACGTGAGGATTTTGTTTCGTGCATTGTTTTATGTCACACGTTCAAACCTCCGCTTTAATCGGTGGCAAAAGTGTGCAGGAAGATCCAATTCAGGTGAGGCAAGGTGAGTTTAGATCAGGGACAGGCGTGTAGAGCTAACATAGAGCTATTCAGCAAATTGTTCAGGGGGCCACAGTTTCTGAAAGCCAACAGCTCGGGGGCTGGACACCCAGCGATTAAAATCATTATCAGAGTCAGAGGTTCTTTATTGTCATCCGCACCTCATGTGGTACATGTGGTGGAGCGAAATTATGTTCACAGGGTCCCAGTTACATCCAACAATAAAATGTATAAGAAAAACAGTAATAACATCTAAGATATGAACTAAGAAAAACATCAACTAAATATACACTAAGCACTCATAACATAAAACATTACATCGAGCATGAGCACCAAACCAAACCAAAGTTTACAGTGATGTGTTACTGTTTAAATTTGTTTCATTGCATTGAATCATAAATGCAATAAACAAAACCCAAACCCCACCCCCCCACCCAAAAAATATGAAGTTGGCCGGAATGAAGCCAGAAATGGCCCGCGGGCCGTCAGTTGAATAGCCCTGGGCTAATGGTTAGCTTTAGTGTCAGGCTGCAGAAATGAATGGGAGCCAATACAATGTCCTAATAAGGATAGACAAATCTCGGTGCGTGTGTGTGTTAGGGCGCACGGAGGGAGGGCGTGAAAGGTGCGTTTCTTAAGACTTAAGTTGCACAACATGACTTAACAATAAATTCATGCTATTTAAAAAAAAAAACAGTATTTGTTACTGCAGTGCCTCAGAACTTATAAGAAACTTTGAACTGCTGTAAGAATAATGACTGAAAACACATTTTTTATATTCTATAGTTTATTTTCTTATTTTGGGGAGGGGGGGGGGGGGCAACTGCCAAGCTTTTTATTGCCTCCAGAAATGAACCATTTTCCAGCACGCGTAAACGCGAAGCTCCATCTGACCAGCACTTTGAAAAAGGCGCATGTGCGGTGAAACGAGCAGAGTTGTGATTTGGAGGCAGGAGCGCTCCGCGCGCTCAAACACGAGCACCATCTCTTGGACCTCCACTTCCTCCTTCTGCTACTTATATACAGCTCTAAATATAGCCCCCAATGAGCGCGCGGAGCCGCGCGCCAACCACATCACAGGATGTTGCGCCAGACCTCGCGCCATTGGCTGAACGTGCCTTAGTGGGCGGGTCTTAGTCTGCTGACAGCTGATTGGTGCTCGTAATATAATCACATGGGGGTGTGTTTGTTCGTAATTTTGAATCGGGGGGTGAAGTTTACAGTGAGCTGACAGACTTTTAGTGAGTTCACTGTTTGTGCGCTCTCGGTGCGTCACGCGCTCAGACGCTCCTCTGGAAGTGCGCGACTCCCGAGCAACATACATGCGAAGACAGCAGAGACTCCAGCTTCTTCCACTCCGCTCCAAGCTGCGCGCTTTTCCCAACATTCACTTCGCTCGTGCTCGTTGCGGCTGAGTCTCAGTGACATGGATGTCATACCGATGTGCAGCATCTTCCAGGAGCTCCAAATCGTGCACGACACGGGATACTTTTCTGCTTTACCGTCTCTGGAAGAGTACTGGCAGCAGGTAAGGACTTCCAGCCGGATCCACAAGAGGCAGGCCCGCACGCGTTTGCGTGATTGTAACAGGAGTGTGAGGAATGTGCGTGATTGGATTTGGTTCGACGTGTTTTGGCGTGTCAGCTGCGTGCCAAATGTCAGAGTTGTCTGTTCCACTTTGGTTCCGAGCAACAGTTGCCAGTTGTGTCGCTAGTTTTAGGGAAGTGGTGAAATTTCCTTTTTTTTTTTTTATTTATTTTTTTTTAAATCAAATTAAAATAAAAATAAAAACACGATTTAATTTTTTTTCTCACAAAGTTACTGTTTGGATTTTCGGTCATTTCCGCGCGTGTCCTCGCGCTTTAGTTAGTTTGTGGACGCACATCTTGTAGATGATTTCGACTCATGCCTGCGCGGCTGAACACGGAGGCGCGTGCGGTGAAACCAAAACACGCTGGGGGGCTGAACGGGGAGCCGTGCGTCTTTGCGCGTATCTCCTTCTGCGCCTCTCTCTCTCTCCGTATCTCTGCGCTTTTGCTCACTCTCTCTCACGCACGCACGCACTCATACGCACACACACAGCAGAGTGGAATGACAGTATGGACTGATTTCTGCTCCAGTTTGACTCCTGGACAACAACCAGTCAGTCGGTGTGTCTGTTGTTCGTGGTGTCTTCTTCTGGCTCTGCGTCCATCAGACCATCAGACCCCCGGGCTTCGTTCCAAGTCCCCCCCCCAGGCATTTAAAGCTCTGGGACTTCTCCAGCCTGCTGACGAGAGGCGTTTCTTCTCCTCCCCCCTCACTCCCACCATCCTGTCCATGCTTCATTTAGACTAAAACCTGCTGGTTTCCCTCTTTATAAGACATTTCTGTTCTTTTATCTACTGGTGTGACTTGAACCGCCCCAGTTCAACTCTGCGTTTATTTTCTGCTCTTGGACCAAGTGTCAGTCACATCAGTAGATCCTGTGACCTCTGGTCACTTGAGACTTCAGAAGGCAACTCGTCCTTTGTTGTTGCTTTATTGCCCTGAGTGGTTCCTGTTGACAACACGTCATTTTGCACTTAAACCAGTAAAATAGTTGCCTCACGCTCACTTTGTAAAAATAAAAAAATAATCCACCACGTTCAGTCTTTGTGTGGATTAAAAAACTTGAAACATAAAAAAGAGCAGTGAAGAAACGTCTAAATGAAACCAACAAAGCCCATGCTCAATAATCCAGGTATACAATCCAACAGTTTTCAGTCAGGTCATCTGGATGGTTTCTTTTTTTGCTGAAACGTCCAAATGAAGTTTTATTTGCTAGCACTAGTCCAGTGTGCACTGAGCATCTTGTTTGGAGCTGGGTCTCTCACTGACGACCGTGCACGACTCCGTGGTTGGACGTTCTGGAGGATTAATCCACCTGAGCAAAGACGCCTTGCAGCCAGCGACAGGTAGCACCCAGGTGAAGAAAGTGACAAAGACGCCAGTGTTCATCCAAGATGGAGTCTCGTTTCTGGCTCTCATGTGGGCCGTGTCCTCTCATGACCTGGGTACCGTGCCACACTCTGACAACAAATTACCTTTTTGATGTGAGTCACTCTGATTCCTGACTCACGCTCTAATCTGGACTTGGCTTCTCACTGAATGCACCACCACGTGTCCCTGACTGTCCCCATCCTAAAGAGCATCGTCTCCGTGTCCTGCCTGAGGGCAGGATGAGATCTGAAGCTGAGCCAATCAAACCTTTTGTCTAGATTAATATCTAAATGATCAGCTATGAGTCTAAACACGACATTAAATGAACGTTGCTGAGGCAACGCTCAACAAATGGTCTTGGTAACGTCACAGAACAGACTCTTATTGGAAACTTCTTGATGTTTAAAATGTAAAAAAAAAGTTTTTTTGTGTGGTTAAAGCTCAGTCCATTCATCATATCAGTCACTGGTGACCCTGCATGTCGTGCCTCCATGCTCCGTGCGCAGCAGCTATTTCCTGTTCTGCGACGGCAACATTTGACTGAAATCTGAAAAGTGCTTCATCACAGGAAGTTGCACGGAGCTGCAAGCAGATGTCATTTCTAACCTGTGCATGTTGACTGCACAGAGCTGAGGAAGTGCTTTCTCATTTCTTTTACACACACACACTGGCCCAGAATGCACAGTGGCTTTTGCAGTATTCATGCCAGGCTCTTTATGAACCCCATGAACCAGACCCCCCCCCCCCCCCACACACACACACACACACACACACACACCCCCGAGTCCCTGGTGTGCTATGTTATTTCTAGCATTGCCTCCAAATGCATTATTAAATCCACATTATGTTAAATAATTGATGGATTTAAAAGATCTACAAGCGCTTTTCTAAACCCAAAAGGGGGGGGGGGGGGGGGCTCTGTAGCATATGTAAATTTCATGACCACACTCTGCACATACACACACATGCACGCAAAGTCATTCATGCATTTACATGCTTGAGCACGTTGTTCCTGAATGCTCTCAGGGTGATAGTTGCTGCTTGTAATCCTCCCTGATATGTCCTCAGTAGGCACCCGTAGAGTGCATCTGACCATCCTCTGCATAGAACATCGTGTCTTTGATTCCTGCAGGCAGAGAGGAAGTTGCACCAGTGATGGTTCACTGTCATGGCATTTCTTTTGTCCTGCTGCTACTAACGATAAAAGCTCTGCACACGAGAACACCAGAGCTTCTTGTAAAAACCAAATAAGTACATTTGTGGTTTGGGGACTCTGGCTGTGCAGAAGCGTCCCCTTACCCTTCTTAGCCTCTGTTTACCAGTGAACTCAGTTTTCTTGTCCTCCCTCCACACAGACATGCCTCGAGCTGGAAAGATACCTCCAGAGCGAGCCCTACGTCTCAGCCACTGACCTTAAATTTGAGAACCAGGAGGACCTGTGGAGCAAGCTCATGCTCGCCTGCGGGGACAAGTCGAATGAGTCTGACCCAAAGATCCCCCACATCAAGGAAGAGGTGGACAATCAGGACAGCCAGCACCTCGACGCTGGTGGTTTCCACTCTGACGCCAGCAGCGAGGCCTCGGACAGCTCCGAGGAGCTCTCGCCTACCCTCGATTTCTCCTCCAGCTCGTTGACTGACATTCTGGGCGACAGCGGCGAAGACTTGGGCTCTGCCATCATCAGCACACCACCTTCCTCGCCTGAGCTCGGCAAGGAGGGCTCCGTGACCCAGGTGTGGAGTGGGATACAGACTGTGCTGCACTCTCCTGGGAAAATAAGAACTGGCAGCGTAGAGAGGACCGCAGAAAGGTCTGGGCTAACCAGTGGCGAGGCGTCGCCCGACGGCAGGAGACGGGTCCACCGGTGCCACTTCAACGGATGCAGGAAGGTGTACACCAAGAGCTCGCACCTCAAAGCACACCAGCGCACACACACAGGTAAATCACCACCAAACACACACACACACATTGTGAACCTTAAACTTTGATTCAGGTTTCTTGCAAATACTTCCACATACTTTGAATAGTTCTGTGAGGAGGAATGCCCTCAACCATGACCTAATTCACACAGCGGAACGTGACTTCATGTGCGGAGGAGGGGAAATGTAGATGACCAAAGGGGAGGAGGGGCGTCCTTCTGTGGCCTAGCAGCGCCCAGAGGATGTAGATCCTGAAAACAAATCAGCAGTTCTCAGATTTCACCATGGGAAACGATTCAGAACCTCAAACCGTCTGCATTCACTTCCAAGGCTGGAATAGAAAGAGAGAGAGGGAATAATTATGGGAAACTGACATTTACAGTGTTTTGTTGGGGGGCGGGGTTCAAATGTGAGCCGTTTCCCTCGTCACCTTTGACCCCTGCCAAGCTGTTTACAGCTGCGCCCCCTGTTAGTGAACCGAGCCGCATTCCTCACATTCTTCTCAGACCGTGCTCGGCACATGGTTAATGGCTGTCAGAGCCATTAGAAACCGTTTTTCCCTCCTCTGTTACATAAGCTCTCCACTGGAGCAGATCTACAGCTGCATACCAAAGATCTCGAGACTCGCAGGGTTGTTTTTCCTCTTGGCCTGCTGTAGTTAATCCAGACCACTTTAGGATTAGTTTCCCAGAAATCACCTTTATGTACTGACAATACTGTCTCACTTTGGGGAGGTTTAAATATTGTGATTTAGAGATGCTATGAATTTGCAGATACCTTGATTTGTCGGACTACACAGAACGTCTCTTCTGACTCTGTATTCTGTTTTTTAAATAGGTGAGAAGCCTTACAGGTGTTCATGGGAGGGCTGCGACTGGCGCTTTGCACGAAGTGATGAACTCACCCGACACTTCAGGAAGCACACGGGAGCGAAGCCATTTAAATGCAGTCACTGTGACAGGTAAGGGTGCGCACAAGTCAACGCTGTGTTCAAGGAATAGTTTTATAAATCAACTTCTAAACAACACAGTGAAGCATTAATTAATTATTCTTGTGTTTTCTGCGGTACCAAGTTTTCGTGCAGCAGCGTGAAGTTTGCAGAGTTAGGACTGGGCCATGATGATATTGTTTTTATTGTTTTTAAGTTCTGATCATAAAGCTCTAAAAGTTTTTAGAACCAAGTTTACAATCACAAGTAACTAAAAGTTTAAAATCTGAATTGTCTTGTTCAAAAGAAACAAAAAAAAAACAACAACATTTTCTTCAAAACCAACGTTGCTGTTTTTTTTTTTTTAACTTTTGGATCTAAATGAACAAGATTATTTATTTATTTTAAAAAGTCCAAGTTTGCTTCACTGATTTTTACTTTGCAACCAACTTTAATGCTAATAAAAAACATAAACTGTATTAAAATAGGACCTGGTTTGAGTCAACAAACAAAGCATAGCAAAGAAAACCCTTAAATTCAACTTGTTTTGTTCTTTATAGTTTAGTAAAGCTTGAGATGGTGCAGAGCAGGGGCGTCAGACTCACTTACAAAAAGGGGCCAAAATTAAAACCTTCTTCAAACTAAGGGCCGGTTTCAGAATCTGCATGAACTCAAGTCAGAGACCAAACATCTTCTCTTGGTTCCAGGTTCCTCAACAAGAGTTTGATTGGTCTCATTTGACGTTCTCTGTTGCTCTTTTGACATCATAACCAAAGATTACTGCAAAAATTAAAGGGATAAAGGTATTTTACATTTAAAATAACATGTTGGGGGCCAGAGAAGATGTCAACGAGGGCCACATTTGGCCCCCGGGCCTTGAGTTTGACACACATGGGGTAAGGCAGGGCAGCTGACTCGGGACCTGAAAGTCCCAGGTTTGATCCCCAGTCATTGCACATCTCATAATGTCTCTGAGCAGGACACCTGAACCCCAATTGCTCCCCGGGCGTCTTCAATAGCTGCCCACTGCTCCACCTGAGTGCATCCCAGGTGCGATGGGTTAAATGCAGAGCGCCAATTTCGTCATTGTATGGGAACATACAATGATGACGACACACAACACATTATTATTATTATTATTATTATTATTATTATTGTTATGTTTATGTGCAGGACTATAACTAATCTAAAAAAGTTAAGTCAGGTCCTCTGGATCTTCTTCTTGAAATGTTTAGTCTTTTATCCAGAAGACTTCTTCAGTCAGAGGAGCTGCAACAAACTCAGTCTTATAAATAGCACCTTCTCATAGTGAACCGATCAGTTTTGTTGCTGACATCTAGAACTAGCTGTTCACGTGACAAAAGAGGACCATCAACCTAACGATGGATCGTTAGTGCCCTGATAGCCACTTGCTATTCACAGGGGCTGAATGATCCTAACAATATCAGCATTGTAAGATGGCGACAGTTGGACACGGAGGCTCCGCCCCATTTAATGATGTTTCTCTTCACAAAGATGGCCTCCTTCACTCCTCTCAGATCCAGAGGGCCTGACTTATCTTTTTTTTTTTAAGATTTTCTACCTGGATTATTGAGCATGCATCAGGATACAATAACTAATGTATTTTTCTCCTTCGTCTCTCTCTCTTTGCAGGTGTTTCTCCCGCTCTGATCACCTGGCGCTGCACATGAAGAGGCACATCTAAGATGTCCTTCATGTCGAGAGCTCTAAGGGATGAGTCTGGTTGATTGTCCTGACCTGTTTTTGGGGGATCAGCAAGGCCGGTGTGTCCTGGGAGCATGAATGAGAGCACCGCCGTGTTCCAGTCAGTGGGAAAAACATGAAGCAACGCAGGCTATGATTTGCACCGTACTCAGTGCCTCCAACACCTCGCTGTGGTGATTGGTCTTGAAAGGCTTTTACAGAAGAGCCGGACAGTAAAAGAGAGACTTGGTAAAAAAAAAAGAAAAAGAAAATGAGGGGGAGTAAAAAAAAAAAAAAAATTGGCTGGAGATGATGGGAAAGGACTCTTCTGTATGGTGTTCAACGCTTTTTTGTGTGTGTTTCCTGGAGGATTATGGGACTCCAGGGGTGAGGTGGGGGGAGTACCATTTCTCCACTGAGAGTGTTTGCCTGTACGCATGGGACTGTGAGTGCCTGTGACTGGACCCCTTAGCTGGCTGTGTGGAGCGGATGGAGCCTGCGAGTGAATGATGTGGAGGAAGGTTCTACAAATGAGATTTTCTTTTTTGTGATGGGGGGTGGGGGGGTGGGTATCCGTTACTCCACAGAGAATGAATGCAAACAAAAAGGTTCTGTCTGTGTTGATTGAGTCTGTTTGCAATGGCAGGGAGTCTGGGGTCGTTTGGAAACGATGTCCTAGAGGGCGCCCCCTGTCGGCCGGGAGGCAGACCCACAGCTCCCTGTCCAGACGTGAGAAGTTTTGTTTAGTGCAGCTGTTAAATGTGCAATGTATTACGTGGCCTGTCTCAGAACATACATGCTATAAAGCTCATGTTGTTGTCCATTGTGTAAGCATTGTATCTTAAAAGTAAAAAAAAAAAAAAAAAAAAAAAAAAAAGGAAATGTTCGCAGTTACTGCCATTATAGCAGACATTGCATGGGATCTGGGGATGTGTTGCTCACTTGTTTGCTTATAGGACAACAAAACTCCATTCAAGTGCAGCTACCTTCATCATATTCAGTATCATAGTATTGTACAAATCTCATAGAGCAGACTTTTTTTTTCTTGAAGTTGGGGAAACCACTATAATATGGGATTTTTTGCTCATTTTTTCTTCACATTTGCTTTTTTTTTTTGTTCTCTCTGTAAATGCACTGTTGACCTTACTGATGCCTTATGTAAGTGGCCTTGTCCTGTTTAAAAAGATCACTCTCACGAACACGTACACCAAATGGCCATTGCTAAAGCAGGAATGCATTTAATAATTAGCTTTATAAAGGCTCTGATCCATACAGTTGCACCTTTTTTACATTTTAATTTTCCTTATCACAGCAAATTTCTCTAAACGCTTGGAAAAAAAGAAAGAAAAAAGAACCATATATCAGCTTTGTAATGACTGCCATTTTTACATTTCCGCTCATTTCTTTCCTCAAATAAATCAACTTCATCAGACTTGAACCATTCTCCTAATGACCCGGATTGGAAACAGAATTGTGGAGACCCAGTTCACCTTTTTATATTTGTTTACTACTATGTAGTACAAGACGATGTGGATGCACTGCAGATGATCTATAACCTGCTGTCAAAGGTACAGAACCTTGGAAATGTTCTCATAAACTGCTGCGCTCTGTCGCAACTGTAGTGACGATATAAAATTTACAGCAAAGGAAAACGTTAACATCAGGGCCGTTTCTGTCAGGTGACGTGTGAACGGGTTACATTCTCCAGAGAGCACCATGTGTCCTATAGCGTGATGACGGCAGTCCTAACCACGAGTCTGTTTGACGTATGTTTTGTTTAGTCTCGCTGTCGATGTGAGTCCGTATTTTTCCTCAGTTTTACTTTAAACAACATTTAATCCTACTGTAAACGGTACCAGGACCGGTCTAACGAGCTCAGCTGGACCGTGTTTCAGCTCTAAAGGTTTTGATTTGTGTCTAAACTGAAATAGGACTGGGACCAGATGTCTGTTTTTACGGTGTCCGCTGCTTGCATGTTTAACGTCGGTGGTTCCCAACCTTGGTCCTTGAGGAACGCCATCCTGCATGTTTTTGTTGGTTCCCTGCTCCGACACACCTGATTCAGTGATTTTATTTCTTCTTCATATTTGCAAAAGCCTGTTAATCACCCATTTATTCAAAGCGGGGAAACGACTAAAACATGCAGGATGGTGTTCCTCAAGGATCAGTGTTGGGAACCATTGTTTTACATTACATGAGTTTCACAAAGATTCTCAACAGGTCTATGAAATATTTTATTCCACATTTAAGCCCTGTGCAGGTGGACCTGTTGGACATGAACTAAAGTCTGTTATTATTGCTTTGTCTTACAATGAGAAATGTCAAAATGCAAACGTGCATCACATTGTAAACTAAAGGTTTTGTAAAGAAACCTATATTTTGAAAGGGTTTGGGACCAAAAGCAAGTGCAGCGTGTTTCTAATAAAAAAAGATAAAAAGGCTGAAGATAACTGTAAAATAGGAGCACTCCATTTTTCTGCTTTTGTTTGTTTAACTCTTAGTTTTCTGGAAAAAAAAAAAAAATTTGATCAATGCATAATTTCAAATGGCATCATTAGCGCCAACACATGTGACCTGTCCTCTTTTTTTCTCCTCAAATACAATGGAAACAAAATGGTGTAAATTGTTCGGGACACTTGAATTGTCATTTTCTTGCATTCTAGTGCCCATATTTTTTCCCTCTTTATTTTATGTAATATGTTTCACTTAACTTTTTAAAGACCTGCAAATATGTCCTGTCTTTAGCTAGAAAAAAAAAAAACAACTATTGGATACACATGGAAAATATGAGGCTCTATTTTTGTTTGTTTTATGGCATAACAAGATTTTTTTCATTTGAAATTGTTTTGTAAAATAGTTTCTGTATGAATGTATTTTTTATTGAAAAATGGATAAAATACTTTATTGGTTCTACTCGTGTTTCTGTTTTTCTTTCCTCTGTTTTCCTCGTGAGGTCAAGAGGATTTTCCATTTTCATGTTGTTCCAGATTCCCAGAAGAGAGATCTGTGTCTGTTTCCCTATTAAGGTTTAAATCTGCTCAGAAATAGAGACTAGTCATTGGGGTAGTTGGTATTTGTATCACATTACTGTACAATAAGTCATCCAAATATATTTTTATAAACATTTTTGACTTTTAAGTTGCAGGGTTTTATTTGACTTGTTTAGCACCTACACCTGATGTTTTTGTGGCCTGTTTCAGAACAAAGGGGGATTGGAAACACCTTCCATATGTCCGTGTGAGAAGCATGATGACTGAGTTACTGACTTCCGTTTTGGTGTGTGACTGCATCTAGATGCAAGAAGGATCCTTTAAAAATTGGGTTGCCACATCAAAATCCAAGATGGCCACCACCATATGTTCTATATATATATATATATATATATATATATATATATATATATATATATAGATATTAACTAAGTGAGCTGGATTACTTGGAAAATTAGTTATGTGCAGACTTCCATTTTGCTGTGTGGCTGCATCCAGAAAGGTCAATATCAAAAACTGGCTTACTGCAACAAAATCCAAGGTGGCCACTGATGGATATATATATATATATATATATATATATATAGATGTGTGAAATTACCAACCACACCTAACTGAGGAGACGGCTTTCTAGTTTTGTTGTTTATTTGTCATGCAGGTTAACAGTGAAGTCCACCCTCGTGCACTCGTCTCCTCATCTACTCTGTAGACTGGTTGTAACAGGTCTCTCTTGTAAATGAGTCCCTGAGTCTCATGGGAATTAACTTGTATAAATAAAGATTGAATGAATGGAAATGTTCAGGATGAGAAAAACCGATTCGACTCAAAAAACAAAAAAAAACCTAAAGCATGCAATAAGGGTACAAAATACTTTTTTTTTTTTTTAATTTGTTTTTGTATTGAACGTTTTTTGAAAGTAAAAAGTAAAGTACAATTATTTAAAACAAATAGTAAACAACAACATGGTAGAATTTAATGGTGCAAATCGGATAAATTCTTGTAAATAAGTATTTCACAAATATAAGCTTAAATGCACATGATTATATATATATATGTGTGTGTGTGTGTGTGTGTGACAGGTTGTTGCACAGGTAGTGAGGAACATTGAGATGAACTGAATTATATATATATTTTTTATTTTAATTTTATTTTTTTTAATTTTGAGGCAACAAGTTTGCATACTTTTTTTAAAGTAAAGTCCACCTATTGCTGTGTAAGATAGTGACATAAATGATACAGCCACATAGTGTGGCAGCAATAAACAGATGTCCCAGATGTGGCTTGGTGCAAAGTTATTGTTCAGTATTATTATCAAGAGTTCAGTAATCTGACAGCTTTTTATAAATTTAGTTTTTACCATTGCTTAAAAGAATAATCTCAATGATTGGAGTGGATTAATTAATCTATGTGGCCAAGGCCACCATTGGCCACCCTCTGGCTCTGCCACTGCACTTGGTTGTGAATAAATGTTTTCCCTCCCCTCATCAGGATCCATCATCGCGCCGCCTTGGACAAGCAAAAAAACAAAAAACAGTTCTGTATGTGTATTTTTTCTACAACGTATTTCTTCCCTACTTGAAAAACTTGCACCAAAAGCATTAACGTTTACTGGCGTTCAATTCCAGTCCAAAGTTGAAAAATCATCTAAAAAGTAAACATTCACTTTTAAAATCACTCAGCGGTGCGGGACACGGACGTACCGCTTGCCTATGTTTATTTTTAACCAGCTAGTTTTTCATAAAGGTCAGAGGGAGAATAACACATACCTGGTGCTCGCTCGCTACTAAAGAAGTCAAGACAGTGATGTGTAACTGATAAAAATGAATAAAATGTACGTCTGTAGAGCATCACAAGAATAAATACTGTTGTGTTTATTAATTAATGGAGAACCACAAAGATAAAGCATATACTGGAGCTTCAAACTAAACTAAAAACACGCGTCCAAAATGCATTTTAACTGCTGCGATCATGACAGACTGCAGAACCTGCTAATTTAAATACCTTGTGTAGTGTTTGTGTTACATTTAAATGCAAAGGTTTGATTTGTGTAATTAAAGTAAAGGCAACACGAGGCGTCTGTCTGTGTGTCCTCCAACCTGCTGACTGGAAAAACACAGAAGAGATGACTGATGTTTGCCTTTACTTTTATTTATTTTATTACAGTTCAACTGCTTTTCTGCTCATTAGATCATCGTCTCAAATTTAGTCTCAACATTTTGTCCAGATTTCTGACAGTGAGACGCTTTTTTCCTAATGTGGGAAACCCAGTTC